TGCAGATTACAAACTGCAAGTAATAAAATATGCAGCCCAACACTAATCGAACAGCAGAAAGAAAGTTTGTAAATGGGTGGGGTCCGTGCAGTCAATGAGTCCTCCCGTGCACGCTCCCGCAGCCGCAATCGATTTTTGAAATGAAGCTGTTTTGATTATTAAAGTGCATTTAAAAAGGAACAGTTAGGATGAAAAACGGAAAATACGGTACTAAACATGGACTGTGGCTTTTGCATTTTTGCTTCCTAGGATTCAGACTTTCTCATCCTCTATTAAAGAGGTCTTGATCAACAGGACTCCTTCTGAGGTTTTTCTTTGAACTTTGGCTGCTTTCTGCCCTTCTTCCTGACCATTACAACGTATTGTGTATCGTGTGCTTGATGAGAGGGAAAGAGAAAGTGCCAGGTCTGAAAATATCTACAGCAGATGAGCATTATCTGAAAGTCTTGTCTTTGGGAAATGGGGAAATAAATCCAGCAAAGACCTGACACAGGACCTGAGAAATGTGTCATCTGACGGTTGATCATTGTCAAGTTCTCCGCTAATAGCTTTTGGGGAGTCACCTTCTTGGTGCTTAAATCCTATTTTCTGCCAAACTGTTACTTTTAGTTTATTCCCCACAGATTCAGATAAACCAAAATGTGTCCGATTATCTGTTGGGGACAAAATGCCCACAGATCCAATTTAAAACTTCCCTTTTTGCAAAGTTCTTAATGTACCAACGTTAGACTGTCTGGTTCTGATTCATAAGTTAAACAAGTCAGACTTGCTTAAAAAAAAAAAAAATAAATGTTTAATGGAATCAAACAGAAAGAAAAAGAGGAAGATGTCAAACGTTTTGTATTTCAGTAAATTTCAAGGTGAAGCTTATGGAGAGATGTCATTATTAGAAAGTTAGAGGTTAAGTTTGGATCATTTGAGAAAAGTGTGTGTATTCATTTCTTGAAATAATCTGTGTGTGTTTTTGTGCTTCAGCTTCCAGACAGAGATCCAGACAGTGAACAAGCAGTTCTCGAGCGAGCCGTTCAAGTTCCTGGAGCCCACTCTTCGGCTGGAGTTCACCGAGGCCGTGGCCATGCTGCGCGAGGCCGGCGTCGAGATGGGCGACGAAGATGACCTCAGGTCAGGTTACATCACGCACCTTGTCTTCAGGGCCACATGTCTTGTCAGATGGTTGAATTTAATTAAAGCAGAAGTCAAATTTAACAGAAGTTCAAACTGAGGTCAGGAGATTTTACACGAGTGACTCAGCAATTGAAATATGTGTGATTTTCTTTAACTGCCCACGAGAGGGTTAGTGCTTGGAAGGAGACGATGTAAAGCATGAAGAAGTTCATATTCAGGTTTAGAAAACCTCTTAAAGTTGATGCTTGTTTGTTTTTTTGTTCTGTAGTACGCCCAATGAAAAGCTGCTGGGTCGTCTTGTCAAGGAAAAGGTTTGTTTCATTCACTGAATATCAACCAGTAAACATGCATTAAACAGCTAAACATGAACATCGTTTAATGGGTATCACCAGGTGTGTTTAAAGTTGATCAAATCCTTCAGCGCAACCACCTGAGGGTAGTAGGCCTGTCATGATAACAAATTTTGCTGGGCGATTAATTGTCTCAGAAATTATTGCGATAAACAATAATATCATTTGAAATTTGACAATAATTAGTAATTGTCAAATTTAAAAAGAAATGTTTAATATGTTTTGCATGTAGTAAAATTTTTCGACCACCGGATGGCAGTGTAACATCGACTGAACCGAATGATGGATAGCGAGGGAGCGAGCAGTGTGTCTCTTTAAGAAAAATGGGAGGGAGGTCCCTTGACGTGGCATGGGATGTCTCTCTTCGGTTCTCAAAATGGCAGACGCTCGGTGTGGTTTGAGCTCTTTAGCATAGCATTTTTCACACAAAGCTTTTTAATTTAAAAAAATCAGTAAACAAGTTCTCAGCTTCTTTTTGCAGAGAATTACAACTTTTTACACGAAGGCACAGATTTCAACCGTGAATTTTGGAGCTTCGACAAGACGGAGGTTTTTTCCGAGGTCGGCCCGTTAGCTTAGCTCGTAGCTTAGCTTCTCAGCTTAGCTGCTTTTCAAAAACGCGATTTTGGATGGTTAAAATAAATTTTAAAGAGAAAGACGGGGGTCGGTGAATAACACCGGATTTGAGCTTTTTGTCATCCAGTGTCTTCAATAGAAAGAGAGTCACGAAGAAACGATAAAGAAAATCAGGTTGATCATTTTCATTGATCATGCAATTAATTGATTTATTGTTTATTGCGACAGGCCTAGAGGGTAGTTCAAACCACAGACAAGTCTACAAGTATTTCTGGAGGTTAAAATAAAAATATCACATTTGTCTTTATTCTAACGTGTATAGAAATATTCAATTTGTTTCATCATGTTGATTTCAACACTGATTTATTAAAAATTCATGACGTACAGACACGAGTTGTGCTGAAATTACAGCAAAAGCCTTTCAGGTTTATTATTCATACTCACTGGTACATACTGTTTCTTTGTTTTCATTTTTTCACAAGAATGCAGCTGTTTATTGTTCATATCTTTTGTTCTCTTATTCCCTGCAGTATGATACTGATTTCTACGTGCTGGATAAGTACCCCCTGGCTGTCAGACCCTTTTACACAATGCCCGACCCCAACAACCCTGTAAGTGTCTCGCTTATTCATAAACACAGACAAACTCTCGAACACAGCCTCTTATCAACTAAATAACACAAATACTTCATAAAGAATGTGATATTAGACAGTTTTTTCCAGATTAGATCGTTGACCATGCAGCTTGTGCTGTGACGGCACCGTTTGTTGTGGCTGAGTCAAAGATGGGCAGATGTACTTTAATAACTCCAGCCTGAGATATTGTTGTGTTGCAGAAACAGACAAAAATATTATAGAAATGAAAAAGATGCTCAATCAGAGCAACAAATTGACAACTGTGCAAACAATAAGGCTAAATAGAAATTAAACTTTGCAAACGATAATTTAGAACTGTATAAAATATTGTTGCAATTTGCAGAAGGGTAACTGTTCACATTTGATGCTTATTATTCAGAAAACAAAATCATTAATTACAGACCCATTATTTGAACAGTGTAATGGTCTGTGGCAAGAAACATTTCCTGTAACTGTTGCTCCGATAGTGGGGGATGATATTTAATTATTCTTGTTAAATGCAATTAGTTTGACTCTTAAGAAAACAAAATTGAGTTTAGACTCTTATCTATGTTTATGTGCTGAGTATGTTTCTCCAGTTGGCCTGTTTTACAGTTTTTATCCTCTGGAACAATAAATAATTATTACAGGTATTATTTCAGATGTTGAAGGTTTCTGATCTAAGAATAGTCTGATTCCTAAGGTTGTTTTTTTTTTTTTCTTCCAGAAATATTCCAATTCCTATGACATGTTCATGAGGGGAGAAGAGATCCTGTCTGGAGCTCAGAGAGTCCACGATCCTGAGCTGCTGACTCAAAGGGCTCTGCATCACCAGATCGGTAAGAGAAAGTTTTACATTTGGTTCGGAAAGAAAAAGTAATTTAGACTTTGTCTCCCTCTAGAGGCCAAACGTTGTAATTAAACAGCAGATTTTTGTTGGATTGTTTTATTTTCCTTCTTTAAAAAAACAACAACAAAAATAACTACACATCTGCCCTTCTGATATTCTAGATCTGGAGAAGATTAAGTCATACATCGACTCCTTCCGTTATGGCGCCCCCCCACATGGAGGTGGAGGCATCGGTAACAAACACTCTTTAATTTTAATAAACTATTTGTAAATTGTTCAAATGACTCCAGGTAAAAGAATTCAAAGCAGCGATGAGTAACTGAGCCATCATCCTTCACAGGCCTGGAGAGAGTGTGCATGCTGTACCTCGGTCTCCACAACGTGCGTCAGACCTCCATGTTCCCACGCGACCCCAAACGCCTCACCCCTTGAACTCAACACTGAGGATGAACACAGCCAGATGCTGCCAACGGAAACTACTAATCCACAGTCCAAAAAGGGAGAGAGTGTACGAGATAGTGGCACCTTCAGTCTCTAACACACAAGAAGCTAATCATTAAGAAGAGTGAAGAAGTTCTATCGGTGGGGGAAACTTTATTGATTTGTGGGCATCGGTTTCTAACAACAATTAAAAACAGATGCAATAAACATAAAGGAAGTGGTCACTTATTTATTTATGATTCTAGAAGGTTGCACAGGTTTAATGCATCTTCTAATCAAAGAAAAAAAAACTCTTTAACACTCTTCTTACTACCAGCATAGACCTTGAAGTAATGATTGTGGTGTCCTGCAGTTCACCTGTAACCACATGTGCTTTGTACGTAATTATTAAGAATTAAACATAGACAATAAAAAACTAAACTGTTTTGTATTTTTCTATTTGGAGGGTGAAACAATAGAAGAATCACTCCACATTGTATTTTTCTATTTGGAGGGTGAAACAATAGAAGAATCACTCCACAAATTAATAAATTAAATAATAGGTTGGATAGAACAGAGGTTCCCAACTGTGGTCCTTGAGGAACACCATCCTGCATGTTTTAGTTGTTTCTCTGCTCCGACACACCTGATTTTAATTAATGGGTTATTAACAGGCTTCTGCAGAACATGAAGTCATTAAATCACAGAATCAAGTGTGTTGGAGCAGGGCAACAAATAAAACATGCAGAATGGTGTTCCTCAAGGACCACGGTTGGGTACCACTGGGATTGAATACATCAGATTCTCATTCTGTTTAACATGCAAATAATAAGTTGTATTTTAATTAAACAGTAATGCACACTTGAAAATCTTAAACCTACATTCTTGTTTCAAACAGCGTCAAAGCACTCCAGTGTTGCTCATATAAATAACTATATACAGGAAGTCAGGCTTTTTACACAAGTAAGGAAGTACTCTGGTTTATAAACATGTAACTTTACAGACAAAAAAAATACACATGAATTGAAACTTTTTAGAGGACCAAATATTCTCTCCGTCTTCAGTTCATTCAGTTGCTGCCCCGCTGATTTGAAGGATAAACAGAAAGATGTTCATGATATCAACGTAGAGGGAGAGGGCTCCATAGATGTACTCCTCTGGGCTGATGGCCAACTCTCGATTACCGATGAGGAGCTGAGTGTTGTACACTAAAAACTAAAAAGAGAGAAAAGTGTTTTCATAAAAACATTAAGGAGCAGAGATTTTCAGCCTCAGGTGTGAATTTTAGCGTGAGGGCTCTTTTAAGTCCCAAATTCTTCTGAACACCAAACATTGCAGGTCTTTGTGGCTTTCAACACTTTGGTCCAAAGATAAATTGTCCTAACACTGTGGCTTGTCCAGATCCGTGACATTTAATATTGATTTTTCATGTGAGAGACGGTCGCGGTGGACTTTACATTTACATTTCAATGAGTAAAACTTCCACACAGTGTTTCGCTCCCTGAGGTACTTGCAGCACAACATTGCTTTGAACTAAAGTCTGTTCTAACTTGTATTACGTTGGTTAAATACATGGAATTAGAAAAGACAAAAAGCTGCCACAGTTTTATGGACAGATCCACAGGCCAAGTGACTACGAAAATAATTCTCGTAACTTCAAATGAACCATGATTGACCCGCATGACTAAATCTGACACGTAAAAGAGTGATCTCATGTTAATGTGCATTTTACCAAAATCAACTATTAATAATAAATATTGCAATTAGAATTAATTGTTTTTTTTTATTAATGGTTCAATGTTTCAGATGCTGAAAGAAAAACAACGACTCTGAAGTCCCTTTCTCATTTGCATTTAGATAATTTGTTCAGATCCTTTCATGGATTCCAGGTTTTTTTTAATTGATTGTTTTATTTTTATGCTTTTATTGACTTTAGTCCAGTCCTTGTAGTGGCTTGGCTGTTTTCAGAGGAATGTACTTCTTTTTATTTGTTTAATCCACTCAACTTTTGAAATAGTCAAGTCTAAAAATGCACATAAACTCGAGGCTCGAGCCATTTTCATTCCATTTTTTTGGAGGCCTTTCACTATTTTGTTTCATTCACACTTTGAGGCTCGCGTGTAGCTGAGATGCACAAAAAGTCCAAATGTGGTGCAAGAACTGGTGTGAAAATTAGGGAAAAAAAGCTTAAAACTGTTGATCTTAAGAAAAGCTAATGAAAGACTGTATTTGCATGTATAAAAACATATCTTTTGCAGCAAAACATAAAAAATTGGAGTTATTTCAAAGCTTGCAAAGTGCTGCATGACTAATTTCCCTAAACATACTGATTGGACTGATCCAATACGAAGATGAGTACTGATGCAAGGCACTGGAAATAGCAAGTTGCCAGCATGTTATTTAGACATTGTGTAATCTAAGACTTGTCTATTTTGCCACTCAACAACATACCCTCACTGAAATCATGCCACACTCACCAGAGTGTAAATGATGGCTCCTATTGCAGCGTAGAGCATGTGAAGCCAGGGGACCTGTTGAGTGACATAAGAAAGGCCTCTGAATGGGAAATTGGTCACACAGATAGACCCTTCTGAGCTGCTGCTAGCACCAAGCAGCGTGGGCAGAAATAATAGATCAAAGGATTTGACAAAGAGTCCTCACATATTGGAAGGAGAGCACGACGGCCGTAACAATCCCAATGATCATGAGCAAAACAGACGCGATGCAGAGAAATCCACCGCAGGAGGTGAAGTCCACCTGGGATGAGAAACAAGTCATTAGGAGGATGAAAAGGGAAGCTAATGTGCTTCAAGCCACACGAAGGAGAACGCAAGAATAATTTGAAAAAGGTTCAGACTGAGTTTATAATTTAAAGAAAATTGGTGGATGTGTCATCCAAGAATAACTCACTGCATGTTGCATCAGACAGAAAAGTTGGATTCACATCTTATCCCAAAATGTTATGAATATTTAAAGGATGCCAGTGCCCCATTGTAATGCGAGACAAAGGAGTTCTTTTACACGGACAACAAAGACATCCTCTGACAAGCAGGCTGCTGGGCTGCAGAGCAACACTTTACATGTGCTGTACCTTGGTTTGAAAGCAGAAGACTGTCACCGCTATGCACACGATGGCTGTAATTCCCATGGCGAGAAACACTGCTTTTGTTTCATAATAGCTGGAAAAAAAGACACATGTAGTGATTAAACTAAATATATGCACACGTACAGCATAACAACATGACCGTATTGAGTGGAGTCCTAAACAAACCTTGAAATTGTTCCAGCCATGTAAGAAAAAGCAACAGTCTGTAAGATAAAATAAGTACATCTTTATTTATATAGACTAATCAAAACCAGTTGTAGCAAGAAAAAGACAACAGAAACAACCAATGGATGATTTAGACGAATACAATAATGCAAATTTTTTAAATAAAGTAAAAAATGAATCCAAACCCAAAAGTTGTAAAAGCAACAGCATTTTGAAAAAAAAAAAAAAAAAGAAGCTTTAACTAGAAAACACAATGTTTAATGCTTTTAACCCATAAGGATAAGTTTAAACTGTATCCTGAATTTTACAGGAAGCCAGTGAAGAGAAATTAGCACAAAGGAGATTGGAGAGCTAAACAAGGTCTTCACAAGAAGTTTTGTGGATGAGTTCTGGATTAAGCAAAAGTGGATCTTGGCTTAAACAGGGATAGAGGAATTTGCAATTGTCTAGACAGGACGATGCAAAATCATGAATTGCAGTTTCTAGTTGTTGAAGCTTGGCTTTTTTTTTCTCTTGTACAAGTGACTGGACTAATTTATTGTGTTTGTTTATTTTTTTAAAGTTGTTGGTTGAAGATGACTGCTAAATCTTTGGCAGTTTACTTAGAATAAACAGTGCTGGGACACTCTTGTCAGGAAATTGAGTTAGAGAACAAAAATGAATGTCTGACAAGAAAACCTATTTTGTCCATTTAGACAGTTGTAAAGAATGTTAACATTTATAGAATCATCTGGTTTAACAGACATGCAAAACTGAATATATTCAACAAAGATATCTGCCTGCTGGTCCAGGGGGGTCATATACGATATCAAGAAAATAAAAACAGGTCCAAGAACACATCCCTGAGGCACCCCACATGTCTGTGTGCCACAGAGGAATCCCCATTATCAGTCATAACATAGCACTTCCTGTTTAACATATAGAATCAGAACTCAGAAACAGAATAAGCTTCATTATCACTGTACCGAGATACAACGAGGATATAGGAAGTAAACTACCAGTACTTAAGAGCTGTACCTGCAATCTGAAACATAAAAATAAAAAGGTATTTCTTTTTTCCTAGAGTTACTTTTGTTTTTTCATATTCTCCAACTACCTTGATGTATTTTGCAAATTGTTCACTTGAACACTAACTCCTTGCCAAGATTTAGATCTACCAAACTTACCATAAGATTGACATCTGATTCATAATCTAACAGACAATACTTACAAATATACCCAGCAACACCAGATTCAGTGGGAAGCGCCTCCTACATGAAAATGAGAAGGATTTTATTTTTATTTTTTAAACATGATTAAACAAACACATTGATGGTTTATAAGCTCATCCAGGCTTAGGTCTTTCTCACCTGGGCTCTTTGCAGCAGATGAGAATGCAGTAAACCAAAAGGAACACCACACTATGAAGAGACGAGACACCATGAATCTCATTGTGTACTACAGCAGTACACTTAAACCAAAGAGATGCAGATAGGATTTACTAGATTTACTACAAGTTTAGTTGTTCATGCAAAGACACTCACTAAGACGTCCAGTAGATGACGGGGTAGCTGATGACAAACAGCCTCACCGAGTCCCTGTGAATGCACAAACAGGATTCTTATTGGACAGCACATGAATGGCTTCTTGCCTTTCATTAGACAGGAAGAAGAGCTGGTTTATTGACATGAATGAGGAGACTTACACAAATGTGAAGACAGAAATGACTGAAAAGGTGACTGCAAGCTGCACTGTTAAAATAAAGTAAACCTGGCCACAAGAAGTAGATTAGATTAACGGATTATTCCACTGACAAGCTGAATGCCTGAGTGTTTGAATGGGACACCGAGGAAAAGACCTTACTTTTCTGATGAAGGCATGCCGAACAGATGTGCTTTCCCACTGGCTGCTGATCAAATCATCCATGTCTCCTGCGGAATGAAGAGCAGAGTAGTATTTTAGAAATAACGGAAGAGTAGAGTGATAAAAGTCGATGTGATGCTCTCACAACCTGGGTTGGATGCAGGCAGTCCTGCTGACAGAGTGGCGATGGGGATCCCAGCTGGAGAGAAGCCTGGGCCTGGATACATGCTGGACTGCGGGTAGACGCCCCCCTGGCCCCAGTAACCAGGCTGGCCTGGGAACATGCCAGGACTGGGACTGTAAGACGGGGGTGAGGAAAGAGAAGCGCCATATTGTGGCTGGCTGGGAGGATGATCAAACTTTGGGTGATTCAGCGCCTCCTCGTACGACGGAGGAGTATCACTTTTAGACATCATTTATAAGGAGCACCTATAAAAAAAGGACAAGTGGGAAACTGCTGCATCAAAATTAGTGTTTCGTATTTACTATCTACAATGAAACACCTTTTCTACTCATTTCAAACAAACTGTTTAGCTGTCACAGTTAGAGAAAAATCGTATATAATGCAACACAACCACAATGTCCAAACAAAACTATTATTTCATTCAATAAATATGTTATCTCTAACACCAAATATAGAACACAAGAGAAAATACATCCAAAAAGTCTGTAAATGTACAATTTATTTAAATGCAAAGTCTTATTAGATTGTTTTTAACATGAACAAATTGAACTTACTGTTCAGCTCTTGTCTGTGATGGAAACACTGAGCAACCTCTTCTCTGCTCTGAGGTCCGAGTCGCAGCAGGAGGAGAGTCGTCATCTTTGTAACTGGATATGTTCAGTGAAACTCACACTGATGGTTCCCTGAGAGCACGTAGACTGGCTGCCCATCAGGCTTCATCAAAAAAAAAAAAAAAAAAGAACAATCCTAAACAGCTGGATGTTTGTGATGTGTTTTTGAGAGGTGTTAGATATATATTTTTTCACATCAGAGTTAACATCTTTGTTTTTAAAACTATTCCTTTTTGTATTATTTTTAAATAATTGTTGATAGTCTGTGAATACACTCAAGTGCTATAATGTGACACAAACTTAAACTTCTAAACTTGTGAAACAACAAAGTGCCTAAAACTTGGCAGGTTATTGTTACAAACGACAAAAATACATTTCCATTTTTTTTTTTTTTCATATAATTTGATACATTTGTTTTTCCTCCTAATATTAGGTTTACTTTACAAGTAGACTTTCTAAAGTCTGACTTTCCTAGAATGAAGAAACATACCATGAAGAATGTGTTTATATAATTTAGAAATTAAGTAAATTTTAATGAATAAATAATTTGTACAAATTAACACAATTTCAAAAATAAATAGTTATTTTAATAAACGGACAAATAAAAATAGAAAAATAATAAAAATACATTACAATCACAAAATATTTTGAAAAAATGTATCTGAAATCGGGTTAAAATTTTAACTAACACTTTATAAACTGTGGTAAAAAGCACAGTATAATGGAAAGAAAGAAGGAAAGAAAGAAAGAACGAAATAAAGCAAACCATTGACACGAGATAATTTTACTTTGTACTTTTTTTTTTTTTTGAGTTGTATAAAACAATTGTTCGTTTGCTTCCTTGTCATATTTCTGTTTGACTCGAGATTTTCCGAGGTGTCTCCAAACGCAGCAATCTTGTTGTGTCCCTTCAGTAGATCCACTTTTTACATCAACTGTAGGCCAAAATGGTCCACGGACCCAAAATGTAGTGTCCCCTACCACGATCCAATATAACTCGCCGCTGCGATTGGCGTACGTGTGCCTACGTCATTACGTTCTGATCAGCAGCTATGGCGTTTCCTGACTGGATGTTATCATTGGCGGCCACTGCATCTTTTTTCTGTTTCTTTTGCTTGTGTATTAGATACAGGCAGACCACACAAGTGTTCTGGAGCAAGTTGTTGAGGAAGATAATGGCCCGGACAGAGAAGCCATTGTTCCGAATCGCGTGAGTATTTAAATAAGACTCCGGTTTTGTGTTTCCCATCGATTCCGTAGCATAGTTAGCTACATGCAGTGTTTTTGTTGACGTCCATCCCACGCTGGTTCTTATGTTTTCTGATGCAAGGCCTTTTCATAGAGTAGAATCAGAATTCATAGACAAATAATAGTTGCTGCTTTTATTTGAATTAAATGCTTAAAGTTTAAAATATTGTTTACATGTAGCCTACTTCGCGTCATTTGTGTGCATAGATAGTCTATTTCCCCTCAAAATATGCTAAATATGCAGCATGTTGTTATCTTTGATCAGTATTATTGAAGATAAATAATTTAAGAACTCGTATTTTCTCCTCCTAGATACACACTTTACACAAGAACCAGACTTGGATACATGTACTACAGGAGACAAATGAAAAAAGCCAGAGAAAACCATCCATCTGGACATTCCACATGTTATCCCATGGAGTTCAATGGTATGCTGCATCTAAGTATACATATTTTTATTTACATGCTATTCAATCAGCTTAAGTGTACTCCATTTGTCTCTTAATGCTCACAGGTATTAAAATAATTCCCATCTCGGTGCTGTCTGACAACTACAGCTACCTTATAACTGACACAGCCTCCAGTGTTGCTGTTGTTGTAGACCCTGCAGACCCTCAAAAGGTTCAGGTGAATCTCTTTAATGGTGGTTTTGTGCAAGATCTCTCACATTGCATGCAAGTTTGTTATATTTTTAAGATGTTTTTCAGCATTTATGCATGCTAAACTACATCTCACAATGTTTCCACTTTTCAGGATTAATTTTTATTTCTCTGTAATATAAATTCTGCACAATTTTAGGTAATTTTTGTAGAAGTCATGCTGATCAAGAGCGCTTGCTGCTTTTTCCTTCTTGCTGCAGGCCTGTATTTAGTTCCTCATTCATTTATCAATACAGCTGCAAGTGCATGTCAAGGGCGTGTTTGTTCACATCGATGCAGTCATGAGTGCGGATAACTTGGCAGCCCAGTCATCGTATTCACAACAAACCGCCTCTATTGACTGTCGGTCGCTAAAACCGTACTGCGGCTGTGCCTTTACCAATCAGCACATCCTGTCAGTGCATTCTCAGCAGTATTCATCATCGCCAACATAACAGTAAAACTGCAGCTGTGTAGTGGTCTAGGTTTTGAGGTGTTTTGTTTTTCCATACGTGTTTGTTTACAGTATTTGTGAGGTGTTCATTTTATATTGCGATTAAAAGGTCTAACAGCCTTTAATGTGACTTTTTAGACAGTCCTTGAAGACGAGGGAGTCATTTTAGAAGCTGTTTTATGCACGCACAAGCACTGGTGAGTCCAATGAGGTTTGTGTTAAGAATGACCAATATGGTGTTCTAGATAAGCTGCATGATGATAAAGTTTCTTATGTGTGGATTAAAGAATGAATATTGTTCAAATCAACTTATCAACCCTCTGCTCTCTCTCTTCTGTTAACAGGGACCACAGTGGAGGCAACAAAGGGCTGAAAAAAATTCACAGCTCATGTCGAGTGTATGGAAACGCAGCTGATAATATTCCTGGTCTCACTCAGTAAGCTCTAGTTTACAAAAGGCAGCACAGACTTTCACCGGTTTTTGTTTTGTTTTGCCGATACTTGATAAGATAGAAAGGTGCTATACAAGTACAGTCCAATTACCATTTACCATTCCTGTAACGAGTCTTGTTGACGGTCAACATTTGTAGCAGCTGATTTCACGGTAAATTATCATGGGACGATAAACTTTCCTGGTTTGTCTTGAGGTGGTTTGGCTTCAATTGAAAGTATTTTTCACTTACACGTCAGTCTTTTGTTCAGATTAGATTTTTACTTATTTTATGTTTATAGACAAATTATAGGCCACGTAAAAAGTTACACATTTATTTTTGCAACGTGTACAGAATGTTTGTATAAAAATGTCCTTTCAATCAGTGCTGCTCTCCCGAGGTCAGTTTGACATGATTTTTTTTTTTCCCCTTTCCCAGCCCCCTCTCACACAAAGACTCTGTCATAGTTGGCCGATTACACTTTAAGGCCCTTTTCACTCCTGGACACACAGTGGGTCACATGATCTACCTCCTGGATGGCCAAGCAGTTGGTGCCCCCTCCAGCCTGTTCTCTGGTGACCTGGTGTTCCTCTCAGGATGTGGTGGGTTATGTAGCATTTTTATGATTTAGTTTGCTTATGTAAATAAGTCCTGATTTATATCACCAACAGCAAGGAGTGCACACGGTTTTAAACATTTGCTATTTTATATGAAATATTCCACAACTACTGTAGGTTCTTACACCTGCTGAAAACAGAATAAAAGAATGAATCCTTGGCCTTCAGATGGTGTTAACCTATGAGAACATATTCATAAAAACATCTAGTACATGTACAATTTAGTTAACTGAGGAATAGTGTTTTTATTTATACAGTGGTGCTTGAAAGTTTGTGAACCCTTTAGAATTTTCTATATTTCTGCATACATGACCTAAAACATCAGATTTTCACACAAGTCCTAAAAGTGGATAAAGAGAACCCACAAAAATATTATACTTGGTCATTTATTTACTGAGTGGCAAAAGTATGTGAACCTCTAATTATTTGAAGGTGAAATTAGAGTCAAGTGTTTTCAATCAATGTAATGATGATCAGGTGTAAGTGGGCACCGTGTTTGATTTAAAGAACATGGATCTATCAAAGTCTGCTCTTCAGAAAACGTTTGTGGAAGTGGATCATGGCAGGAACAAAGGAGGTTTCCGGGGACCTCAGATAAAGAGTTGTTGATGCTCATCAGGCTGGAAAAATATTACAAAACCATCTCTAAAATTAAAGAACAATTGACTAAATTGTTAACGGTTAAGCAGCATTATTAAATATGAAAAAAAAAATCATCCCCATTGCATGTTATGCAAATCTAGTCTCTGCTTTTGTTTTACATTCTGTCCTATTCATTTTTAACGGGACGAACAAACGTCGTTTTGTTCATAGATGCAATGTTTTGTGCCTGTAATGAATCATTAATCTGATCTTACTGTCTCCAGGGAGGATGTTTGAGGGGAGTGCCACAACAATGCTCTCTTCTCTGGACACAGTTGGCTCCTTAAGTGACGATACTCTATTATGGCCTGGTAGGTAAATCTTTTCAGCTGTTAGGAGACAAAAAGGCCCTTTCACACATGAGATCCATGACATTAATGGCTTCATCAATATTCCACAGCATCAAGATTCGACCACCGAGACGCTGAGTCTTTCGTTTCTCATTAGCTTGTTGAGCAAGTAACAGGTGTGTTAAACATAGTGGTCGGTGTTGGAAACGCTGGAAATTGGATTTCTATGATTTTTAAACTTAATAGACAATCTTTGTTTTAGATGGGAAAGTTAAATATCACCTAACTGACAGCTTAGTTGGTAGCTTGAAAATAAAAACAATCCTTTACTTAACACTGTCTGTAACTTCATTGCAGTTTGTCTCAAGCAGCTGCTCTGCTACAGAAAAGCTAAGGCTTCGTTACAGTTATGTTGCAACGTTCTGACATAAAAGTTCATAAAATATAAGACTTAGTTTATACATAATTGTGTTTTTGATTAGAATATTTGTACCTAAAACTTGATGCGTTTATGCCACACGGTGACCTTGAGCCTCTGTTGAAACAGCCTCCTATATAAAGACTGGATTATATTTCTTGTTTTTGAAGAAGTTTTGCTTCTTCTTCGAGGAGCTTTTCTCAGTTCAAACTAAAAAGTTCAAAACTTTTAAACTACAATGCCAAATGAAAGGGTGCAAAACTATTGTCATCTTGTAAGATAATGGATTATCTGAGAAATCCAGAAAAATATTCTCCAAGCACAACATCACGGTGCTTTTCAATCCTAACAAGACCCTAACATCTGGATAAAGACTCAGCCACGACAAAAATTATCAGCCATGACTTGGATGGGCTTTGCAGTGATGGAGAGGTCTTCAGGTGTGCATTGGGGACACAACAGGCTCCTTTTATACATCATGATAGATCTAGGATAGTTTCGACGAGCAAAATTATACATGGCTTTATCCTGACATTGACAGTCATGCCAGGATGGAGCCCTGACATGGTGTGATGCTGAGTTTATGTGGTAGGAACTTGATGAAAATGTGCTGCTACTATAGAGGTGGTGAGGGTCCAGGAGGGTGTCAAGATGTGGAAAGTTCGAGAAAATGCTGTACATAGGCCTGTCACAATAACAAATTTTGCTGGGCGATTAATTGTCTAAGAAATCATTGCGATAAACGATAATATTGTTTGAAATTTGACAATAATTAGTAATGTCAAATTTAAGAGGAAATCGTGGTTAATTTATGTGTAGTACCTTTTTTGACCACTAGATGGTCGTATAAGATTGTTTGAACCGAAGGATGGATAGTGAGGAAACGTGCAGCGTGTCTCTCAAAGACTAACAGGAGTTAAAATGGATTTTAAAGAGAAAGGGGGGAGTCAGTGAAGAGCACCGGAGTTGAGCTTTTTGTCATCCAGTGTCCAGTAGAAAGAGAGAGACACGAAGAAACGATAAAGCCGATAAATGAAAATGGGGTCGATAATTTTAATTTATCATGCGATTAATTGATTTATTGTTTATTGCGACAGGCCTAACCGTACGTAGTTAGGAGAGAAGCAGCCTTCACACTAAAGCACGATTTCTAATTATTTACAGTGATTCAGCCACGTTCTAATTGGACGTGTAGCTCATGGAGGGCTTAGCAGGGTCTTTATCCAGTTTAAAGGGGGCTTTAGACGGAAGCTAGTTCATCCTAAGGTGAAGCACCCAGATACAGTCTGAGTAACAGTCCGAGTAGTGTGGGGTGCGCTGTTCAGTTCAAGAAGAAGACTTCAGCCCTCTACAAAGAGGAAACAAAAATAAATGTGTTTCCATGGTTTGTAAAACTGCTTTCAAGCCCTTGCACATTACTTCTGCCTACCCTCTGCAGCTGTCCCCAAGTTTATAATTTAGTTTACTGGAATACTTTTGAAATGCAGATGGGCAGATTTGGACCTATATTTTTATTAGTCATCGTTAAAGTGGATTTTAGAACTGGACATGTTATCTGTCAGAGGACAGCCTCAATATCAGGAGTCAAAACACAGCTCTTGTACTCTGGATTACTCTCGACTATTTTGAGAGGAAAAATGTTGCACAACTTTTTTTTTTTTTTTTTTTTAAACATGTTCAGAATTCAAGTGACAAGATTACACGACTTTAGCACAGATACTGAGAACTTGTGCAAACATTTTGAGGCGTTTTGGAGACTCCCTCACGAATGCTGTTTACCGTTCACAACTACAGTAGTCCCTTGCTGCTTTGTGGTTCAGCTTTTGAGGTATCCCTCTTTCATGGTTTTTCAAAGTAAGATTGTACACAAGAGGAAAAAAATGTTGTACACAACACAGGATTGTCAACTTTAATATGACTCATGTGATTGGGATGGATACAGTAAAAACTTAATGAAAAAAACTTTGGACAGGCACCGCTATTTTGAAGTTTTCCTCATTAAGTCTATACTGTATTGCTGTTCGAAAGGACTGCATTTCCCAGAAGCCAACAGTGACCTACTGAGAAGCCCTGACAGTGCTTCCAGCCGTTGCTTTCTAATGAAATGGTTTTGATCCGCTCCGAAAAAGTTCAGTCCTTATTCATAGTGACTTCGGTGCTCAGTGGATGCAGAGAGCCGTACGGAATTGACCGGGAATTGGACCAGAACTGGACTTCCAGTCTCATCGGTCAATCTGAGTGCTGCTTGCCGGCCCTTGAGGCCTCTCGAGTGGGGACGCGTTGCTTGGAGGTCCGTTTTTTTCCTCTGGAGCTCACCGGGACGTTTCTCATCCAGATTTGGACTTGATTGGGACCACTGTGTGGTTTTGTTCTGGCTATTTGAAGGTCCGGCTCTCTCTAAAAGTATCTTGGTGCTCAAGGGCTGCAGAGAGCTGATCAGAACCAGATCAGAACCGGACTTCCAGCTGGTTAGTACCCATGTAAAATTTTGCAGTACATACATACTGTATATGTACTGTACAGTAGCTATGTTGTTAAAATGACGTAGGTTTAAGAGTTAAGAACATTGCAAGAATGTGGGAAGGGTTTCTAAATCCTTAAAATATAAATACTAAAATAAATATAGCGTTCCTACTTTGCAGTTTTTCACTTGTTGCAGGGCGGTCCGGAACGTAACCCCCGGGATAAACAAGGGACTACTGCAGTTAGCAGTTGCAGCCCAGTGCAAAACCACCTTTCGGAGGAAGTCAATGTCGTTTTGAATCACATTTATCAGGCGGATCACACCACAAAAGAAGCACCTCCTGCAGTTTTAAAGCTTCGACTCTGCACAGTTCTGCTGGGACTAAGGAAGCTCCTCAGATGAGCAAAAACAAGAAAAGTCCAGTTGTCTTTAAAAAAAATAAACAAATTGGGACTGCTCTCTTTGATGGCTGTAAACTGAAGCCAATGTTCGTCAAGTCAAAGCATCAAATTCAAAGAGCTCTTTGTGGAATGTAAGCCTTTAAAGATGCACTTTTAAGTGTTATCGTTTCTGCGTCTCCTTTTCCGATCTCTCAGGTCATGAGTATGCAGAGGACAACCTGCTGTTTGCCGCTGAGGTCGAGCCCCACAACGCTGCCAGGGAAAACAAATATCAGTGGGTTCTGCAGCAGCGAGGCCAGAAGCTCTGCACGGTGAGATGATGCATCTTCGTTATGTCTTTCAAGTACACCACGCCAGAGAGGATTCACGTCCTGCACCTGGCAAACAAGGCGTTTCACCTGCATACATTTTTTTTTTGTGCTGTCAAAGACTTTTGTGCACATCTGTGACTCTCGTCCTGCTAGTTCAGGCTTACTGTAAAGTTTCACCAGTGATACAATCTGAGTCAAAGTAAAGGTTTCTCTGTTCAGGGCTTCCCTAGAAATTAGATCTCTTTTTTGTGTCTTTTTGCAAAACGGCATAACTCTAGAGACTGTTTCAAAAGTCTATGCCACCCTGGATTAGGTCTTTTTTCATTTCTGAAATATATTAAATAATTGACTGCGTTTTCTTTTTTTATTAGTAAGAGCTAAATTTTTGAAAGCAAAATGATCCATTATTCCCCACATTAAGAAAAATATATCAATAAAACTACAGTTGGCTGCTTTTATCAGCCCAGTTTTTAATCCCACAATGGTGTAGCTTTAAATGAACATGTTCCTTTCCAAGTGGTACTGCCTTTCAGTGGTTTTGGAAAACACTTTATTTCAGCTTGGCAAAACAGCAAAAGCACAGGTGTTACTAATAGGATTAAATTGGAGTCTCCAAGTTTCTCACTAAGCCGTGACGGCGTGATGGCAAACCGGCAAACACGAAGCCAGGACACTGAAACTGAAGCAGCCGAGTGAGGTTCATTCATAACTTCCTGTGTGTGTCTGGGATTTTCCTGTAGAAACATCGTTTTAATTCATGCTTTTTGTTTTCATTTTTTGTAGTTTCAAATCCAAGTTGATAAATCATAGAAGCAAAAGGTGATTTAATATTTAAGATTGCACCAAATTGGGTCCAACATTTTAAAATTGCACAGTTGCACTGATTTGCGCCAGCAGGAACTTCTCGACTTTCTGCCCAGCGCTAAATGAGAGATGACTGAAGGCTTCAGAGAGAAACAATCAGATCTGAGCAGAGATTTGTTTTGCTTTTCGTTTTTAGTGTCCCTCAACGATCGGGGACGAGAAGCAGTACAACCCATTCCTGCGCAGCCACTCTGCCGAGCTCCATCAGGGCCTGGGTGTCCAGCAGTTCCACGATGAGGACTGGACCCAGTTCCGGGCGCGGGTTCTGGAGGAGCTACGGAAATGTAAAGACCTTTACAACAGAAGGTAGTTGTTCAGAGGACTGCAATAAACTGCAGAGATCAGAAGACATTTCTCCTGCACTGATCTTCAGCTGAACATCAGGGTTATTTCATGTGGTTTACTGGTTGCTACAACATTTTTACTTCTGGTTTGTGAACCATTAGAGTATAAATGGACCACTCTGTGTGTTTTATCCACCTCCTTTAGTTGAAGATTTTAGGAAATGGCCCATTTTCAGAGCTGGTTAAACATTTACAGTGCTGCTGAACAAGAGTTCATTTTACCCTGATAGTTTTTTTTTTTTTTTTAATGGTCCAAGTTAGAATTTTTGAGGTTGTATTTTTCAGTTATAACTAATAAATAGTAAGGCCTCTTGGGTACTTTTTGCTTGTGTAAAAAAAAACAAATACATTTTTTTTTTGGGAAAGTGAACTAAGCAAGTCTTTAAAAAAAAGTCATATTTGACAAAAAAAAAAAAAAAAAAGCCAAAAATAAACAAAATGTTTTTTTGTGCATAAAAATAAATTGTTTGGTATTTGAAGATCATTTTTCATATGGTTAGGTAAAATAATTTTAAGGATTTAGTATCTTTAGCTTTAATTTTATGTTGAAGATGTGCAAACTTCACAAAGTTAATAACAAAAAAAAGAAATAAAAGGCTTTAAAATGTGTGCAATCTTTTTTTCATTCATTCAACCTTTATTTATACTGGTAGTCTTGTATAAATACTGTTTAATTTGATAAATGTGAATTGTAACAAATGTGAATGAAGGGTTTGACAGGTACCAAAGTTCATTCTCATTAATCCAGTTTGGTAATTTGCTGTAAATTAGATTAGACGGAATTGTTGCTGAAGGAAAAATTTTTCTGTGGTGACCCATAAAATTTTGAATATTTATTATGAAGATAATTCTTGTACAAAGTGACTGAATAAATGTTATGTATATACACATTGTGCATATATTAAACTATTTTAAATATGCACCTGATAAAGATCAATTGAAATTTTATAACAAAAAAATACAATCTGTGGAAGCCAAATTGTACATGTTCTTGAAAATGTTTAAATCTATATTATGTTATATCAATGAATCCTGATAATGTGAAATATTAGTTTTACCTCCTTGTTGGCACAAGATCCTGATTTGTTAAACTCCAGTCTTCACCTCTTATTGAAACTTGATAAAAACAAAAACTATTTTTTGGGTTTGTGTTGTGATGGCTCATTTTGGCTGCAGTAGCTCGGTGGTAAGTGCCACGGTCTTTTAATTCCGAGGTTGCAGGTTCAAGCCCAGGTTGTGTCAGGAAGGGCATCTCATGCGAGTTTGTTCGCTGTGGTGAGCCCTGAAGGAGAGCAGCCGAAAGAAACGTACTCTTGTAAAAGCTCACTTTAAGAAATTTTACTTTATATTAGAAGTTAGTTTATTTTGGGCATGTACATTTAATGCATGGTAAATGTTAGAATTAGGGATGAACAATATAGGATATTTGGCCGATATCTGATATGCCAATATACTAAAACATATTTGGCCGATTACTGATACCAATATCTTTTTTTCGTAGACCTACTTGCAGAGACTACAGATTTATCTGCTGTGGAATTAAAAATATGACATTATTCTGCATGGTCTTTGTCAGTTTGGCCTGCTACCAAATGCAGATGCTAAAAAAAGGGATTGAAATGATGTAACACTTCAACTTGGATTATGTTTAATGTCAGATTTATTCATGACATTTACTCTTAACAATAACACTCGAACAGTGCAAACTTGTAAATTTTCACAAATCTAAACTCAATATGTTCACAAGTGAAAAGTGCATAAGTAGTAGTGATATATAAATATACTTGACAGTTTCTTAAATTACAAATCATCTTAACTGAAGCCTTTTATATTGGTGAGTTTTTTTGACAGAATGTCCGATATTTAACTTTATCGCTAACATCGACCGAATACATTCTGATAATATCGTGCATCCCTAGTTAGAATAAATATTTTTGATAGAAGCATGCTGGATTGTATGGTAGAAATATTTTACTTTAATTTTTTTTTAACATTCTGACAAAAGATAGCCTTGCATGATTTTTATCTGATTTGTCTAAAATGCTAGAAACTGAGGGTAACTGCTTCTTTTCCATGTTTCAAATTACGGTAATACATTTCAAGTGTTTAAAGCAGTTTACTAATTGATTCTTTTGTAGGTAAAAAATAATTATGTGGATACATTTTCTAGTTTATTGGCATGAAGAGTTTAAATTGCATAGAGAAACGGCTAGAAGCCATAATGTCCTCAAGACTTTACAAGCAGGTTTGAGTCTAGAGGCTTAACAGTTAATATTTAACTGTGACAAAGCAGTGAACCAAACTGTAACAGTACAGTTAAAAAAAAAGCATAATCCTTTGTTAAAGTGTTTATGGACCAGAATAAAAATGTATTAATCTTTTAAGTTCAGAAAAGTTTTTAAAATGCTTCTCATTCCTTTGTTGTTCCTGCAGAGGTGCTTGTACCGGAGCAACTTCTCCCCTGCTGATCGTTGTCTGAAACGTTATTTTCATTTGTTTGATGCAGATTTGCACCTTATTAGCATATGTTTGAGTTATGAATATCACCATGCGGGAGACTGTTTGACTTCAGGTTATGTTTTAATGAGGATGTTTGAAAACATATTTCTGTTAGAGCAGAGTGTGTGTATATGTGTGTGTCATTTGTTGTCTTTCTGGCTGCTGAATACTGACGGATGACTTTTCCCCTTCACTGCTATAACTTTTAAACAAGTGCTTAACCTACTTCTTGCAGATGCAGAAGATGTTTAGTGTAGCAGAAAGATTAATTCAAGTTTTTAGTTGACAAAACAAAGTCATAACATTTTATGTAAAGTTAATTATAACATTTTGAATGTTAAACTTAAAATTAAATTCCAATGCAAACCAGTACGTTGCTCATAATTATGCACAGATTAGCTATAACATTCAAATCTTTCTCCTAATATTTATATTTCTCAATGCCCTCGAATGACATTTGGCTCTTCAGGACTTAGACAATATTTTGTGGGGAGTCTTCAGTTTTACAGAAATGTACGAATCGTTGGGGTCTTTGAGTTTGTGGTTAGTTCCACAAAAAGCTGTGGGATTGTTGTACTGTAACAGGAAAATTTGTTTTATGTATTTTTTTCTCCCTCTTATCTATTGATGAATAATTGGTGCAATTTCACCCATCTGTCCAAAACCAATGTATTATTTCTTTAAAAAATATATATAATTTTAATGAAGATGTAAATAAAAGTAGATGATATTGTTTTTTTTTTAAAAAATATATTCATTAAATTAACAAGCATATTTGTCAGGCTATTGGTTTAAAAAAATAAAAAGAAACGTTTCAAAGTTATATTTTGTCTTGGCTTCCTGACCTTGTCCTCCCTGTTCTCTATAGCTCAGCATCTCTCCAGTCCGCTCCTGTAAATAATCTGCTCCGTGTTTTCAATTCACGTACAGCTCAGCATCGCTCCAGTCCGCTCCTGTTAAACTTCTGCTCCGGGTTTTCTTGGTGATCCTCTGAACGTCACCGGCAAAAAGTAGATGCGGAAGCAGCTGCAGGTGCCGGTTTTCTGGAGATCAGGAAGCAGCTGGAGAGCTGACGGAGGCGGAAGCAACGAAAGCGTTCTGGCGGTCTGTTTAAAACTTTTCTATTTTTGTCGGTGGTTGGCAATAGCTGGTTTGTGACTGGATCAGGATGTTAGGACAAGATGTAGATGAGGATGAGGATATGAATTCAGATGAATGGATTTCAGCATCTAACAGAAAGGAGCACAAGATAAATAAAACACCACCTAACAAGAGCAGTAAAAGGGAATGGGGAGAAATAAGTTCAGATGAGGGAGAGAGGGGTGCTCGCAGAAAGATTGTGAAGGAGGAGATTAAAGTGATAATAAAATTTAGAAAGGAAGATGAACATATTTATATTAGTCCGATAGCAATATCCAAAGAACTGAAGAAAAAGATAGGTGATGTGGAAATGGCCAAGACTTTGAGGGATGGTAATTTACTGATAATATGCAAAACAGAAGAACAAAAAAATAAAGCTATGCAAATTAACAATGTGTGTAAAAAAGTTGTGTTTGAAAAAAGGATTCTTGGAGAAAATAGGATCACACGAGGGGTGATAACTGGGATTCCTGTAGATGAAGATTTGGAAAAGCTAAAACGAAGCATTCATGGAGGGGAAATAAATACAATAAAACGACTGATGAGAAATAAAAATGGTCAAAGAATAGAAAGCATGTCAGTGCTTCTAGAGTTTAAGGGATTGGAACTACCGGATAGGGTCAAGATTGGCTATTTGAGTTTCCCAGTTAGGGCCTATATTCCCCCACCACTGCGCTGCTTCAAATGTCAAAGATACGGGCACATTGCTGCAGTTTGTAAAGGAAAACAGAGGTGTCCCAAATGTGGTGGTGACCATAAGTTTGAAGAATGTGAAGATGATGTGCAGGAAAAGTGTTGCAACTGTGGTGGTCAACACAGAGTGACATCTAGGGAATGTGAAGTCAGGAAAAGGGCGGTGGAAATCCAACAGATTAAAACAGTTACTAATGTAAGCTATGCAGAGGCAGTAAAGACGGTGCAAAGAAAGAATGAAGATTTGAGAACTCCCCATAAACCAGCATTGGAGATGAGTCAAAAAGAAGGCAGTGATTCAAGACTGATAGTGGACAATCTGATTTTGTTCATCGCTTATGTGATCAATTGCACTGATCAGGTCAAACAAAAAACAGAAAAAATAAAAATAATTGTAAGAGGAGCAGAGAAATTCTTGGGAATGAAAGATCTTTCATGGGAAAAAGTTACTAAAAAACTGGAGGCAGATGGGAAGTCAGGTGAACCAAATGATAGGACAAACTGATTATTTTACAATGGAATGCAAGAAGTCTTATAGCAAATGGACAGGAATTCAAAGGATTTGTTAAAGAGCTTAAAGAGAAACCAGATATTATTTGTGTTCAGGAAACATGGCTGAAACCCACACTGGATTTTGTTATAAAAGGTTATGTTAGCTTACAGAGAGACAGGGAAGAGGGAAATGGAGGGGGATGTATAACATTTATTAAAGAAGGAATACAATACAGATTAATACAGATAGGTATTGATTTGGAATATATAGTAGCTGAAATATGGACTGAAGATGGAAAAATGAAAATAGTAAATTTTTACAACCCATGCAAAAAGCTTTATGTGGAATCATTAAACATGATTAATTCAGACTTGGATGATAAGGTTATTTGTTGCGGGGATTTTAATGCACATAATACACTATGGGGTAATTATGATGATGAAAATGGAAGGGTGATTGAAGAAATTATGGACAATAAAAATTTAGTATGTCTTAACGATGGACATGGAACAAGACTGAATATTAGAAATGGTTCAGAATCAGCTATAGATCTCACAATAGTTTCTGACACATTAGCAGCTAAATGTACATGGCAGATTATTTCAGACACAACAGTAGGAAGTGATCATTATCCAATAGTCACAACAATAAATTTTACATTGAGAAACTCTGAAAGAGTAGGAATACAAAGATGGTTATTTAATAAAGCTAAATGGGATATGTTTAAACATATTAGTGATCAAAAAATGAGTAAAATTAATATTAATCAAAATATTGACAATTTAAATAGTTGCATTTGTGAAGCAATCCTAGAGGCAGCAAAACAAACTATTCCAAGATCGAGTGGTGGAAATAGGAAAAAGATTGTACCATGGTGGACACAAGAATGTGACAAAGTCATTAAATCTCGAAATAAAGCTTTCAAGTTACTAAAAAGAAATCACAACTTCCAGAATTTAATTGAATATAAAAAACTGCAGGCTGAAGTACGGAGGACAATTAAAAGTGCAAGGAAAGAGTTCTGGACATCCTTTTGTAATTCGGTTGGAAGAGAAACTGATATTAGTAAAGTTTGGGGAATGATTAGGCAAATGAATGGGATTAAAAAACAATATGGATTACCAGTTTTACATGAAAGTGAGAGAACAGCAATATCAGACCAGGAAAAAGCAGAAATGTTAGGAACAAACTTTAGCAAGATTCATAGTTCAGAAAACATTACTAAAGAAAGGCAGCGAGGGAGACAAATGACTTTAATTGAAAATGAACACTTATTAACCCAACATGATGAAACTTCAGATTTACTAAATGTTGCATTTTCAAAGTCAGAACTGAATCGAGCAATAAATAAATTCAGAGAATCCGCTCCAGGCAAGGATCAGATCCGTTATACAATGATATATCATCTTAATGATTCATCCAAAAACATACTGCTTGAACTCTATAACAAAGTATGGGAGAAAGGGGAAATACCACAAAGTTGGAAGGAAGCCATAATAATCCCAATATGCAAACCAGGGAAAGATTGTACTAACCCAGGTAGTTACAGACCCATTTCATTAACATCCAACATCTGTAAAATCATGGAGAAAATGATCAATAAGAGACTGACATATCATATAGAGATGAAAGGTTTCTTAGCTGGATACCAAAGTGGTTTTAGGAAAGGAAGGAATACAATGGATCCATCTATATGTTTAGAACATGAAATAAGGAGGGCTCAAGTAAATAAAGAAAGTGTTGCAGCGGTCTTCTTTGACATTGAAAAGGCATATGACATGATGTGGAAGGAGGGGTTGTTAATTAAGCTGTGTAAATTGGGTATTTCAGGTCGTATGTTTAGATGGATCAAGGAAATTTTGTTGGGCAGAACTATCCAAGTTAAAGTAGGAAAGAGCTATTCTCAAAAATATTTTGTTGAGAATGGGACACCTCAAGGAAGTATAGTGAGTCCTCTACTATTTTCGATAATGATCAATGATATGTTTTATGAAATTGGAAATGAGATGGGAGTTTCTCTTTTTGCGGACGATGGAGCAATTTGGAAAAGAGGAAAGAACTTGGAATTTATTGTTAAAAAAATGCAGGAAGCTATTACAAAGGTAGAAGAATGGTCATATAAATGGGGAGTAAAATTTTCAACTGATAAAACGAAAGTAATGTTTTTCACAAGAAAAAGAAATGAATGCAAATTAAAACTCAAACTCTATAACCAGGAATTAGAGAAAGTAAAATATATTAAATTTTTGGGAATATGGTTAGATGAAAAACTAACATGGAAGATACACATTCAAAACATTCTAGATAAATGTAAGAAAGTTCTAAATATAATGAGATGCTTAACAGGAAGTGGATGGGGTGCAGACAGAATTGCATTAAAAACTATTTATACTGGATTGATAAGGTCAGTATTAGATTATGGATGTGTGGTATTTGGATCAGCAGCAGATTCGGTTCTTAAAAACCTTGATCGCATTCAACATCAAGCATTAAGACTTTGTATAGGAGCTGTTAGAACAACTTCAGTGGCAGCTTTGCAGGTAGAAATGGGGGAAATGCCATTAGAGTTAAGAAGATCCCAGTTATCAGTAACCTACTGGGCAAGTTTGCAGGGCCACAATCACTTTCATCCAACACATAACACCCTAAAACCCTGCTGGGAGAAGGAGAGGAAAAAAATAAAAAGCTTTGGATGGTCAGTAGAACAGAAAGCTGCAGAACTAGGAGTGGCTCAACTTGTTATTAGTCCAACTGTCCCATTACCTGTAATACATCCATGGATTCTCCCTGAAGTTAAAACTGACTTTTCAATACTTGAAAAGAAGAAAGATAAGAAATGCAACTTAAATCACCATAGTATACAAAGTTATATTAATAGCTATTATGACTACGTTCAAATCTACACAGACGCATCCAAGGATTCACATGATAAGACGGGAATAGCATTTGTTATTCCAGAATTTTATGTCTCAACTAATAAAAGGATTAACGATAGACTCTCGGTGTATACAGGGGAACTGCTTGCAATACTTTTAGCAGTACAATGGATAGAGGACATTAGACCACTGAAAACAATAATATGTTCGGATTCAAGCTCATCATTGCAAAGTTTAAACAACAATAACTCAGAAAGTAGACCAGATATTCTTCTAGAAATTCAGCAGACACTATACAGAATACAAAAAATGGGACTCATAGTAGAATTTTTGTGGATACCGGCACATATCGGAATAAATGGAAATGAGATGGCAGATAAAGCAGCAAAAGAAGCCACAAAACATATTACTATCGATATGGAAATTAATTTCAGTAGATTAGAAACTAAGAACATCATCAAACAAAAATTGAAGGAAAAATGGCAGAAACAATGGGAAGAAGAACGAAAAGGAAGATGGTTTTATAAAATACAAAGGAAAGTAGGAGAAATTAGAAGTGGGAGGAAAAACAGGAGAAAAGATATAATAATATCAAGACTCAGAACTGGACACACTGGGTTGAACAGCACACTGTTTAAAATGGGGAAAAATAATACAGGAAATTGTGGCTTTTGTGGCCAGGAAGAAACAGTAGAGCATGTTATGTTAAACTGTAATAAATATAATAAGGAACGATATATTCTTACCCGAAATCTTGAAGAGATTCAAACAAGATACAAGTTATCAGAAGTGTTGAGGGAAGAGAAATGTTATCCATTGCTATTTCAGTTTCTTCGAAATACTGGTTTATTTAGAAGGATTTAATTAACGATTAAAGTATTTTCTAGGATTTGTCTTTTTTATTTTATTTATTTTTATTTATTTATATATTTATTTACAGCCGCCCCCCCCCCCTATCCCCGTATAATTAGTCTAGATATTAGAATCCTGATCCACACTCCTTACCAGTTGGTGGCGGTAATGCACCATTAAGTTGTTTGCCAACCGCCAAAAAACACCACAAGAAGAAGAAGAAGAAGCTGCAGGTGCCAGTTTATCCGTCTCAAAACACAAAGCTTCATCCTGTCAGCATGTTGAAGGCGGTTATTTTAATCGGAGGTCCCCAAAAAGGTGAGAATGGCCCTTGTGTTTGCCTTTTTCTTTTTGTTATCCGCGTTTGTTTGCGTGTTGTTGAAGAGAAGCTAGGCTGCTAATGCTAACTGGCTGAGCTTGTTTATATGCCTGACGTGGCTTAATGTTAACCCCACAATGTAAACAAAACAATTTAGCAACATAACTCTGTTCTATGAAAACTAATCTAAGTGAAATCTTGTCAGAACTATAACAGAGATGTGCCAATACAAATCTGAAGCACAAGTAATTTGAAAACTTTTAGTTTTCATCACATTTTTTTCTATTTCTTATAGTTTTTGAGACCTAAATGTATTTGTATCTTAGCATATTCTCCTAATGCATTTTATTCTCTGAAGCCTTTTTGACAAACCTTTGACACAACAGAAGAAAGTCATCACATAAGCCTAAGGCTAAGGGTTTTAGTTTAGTAACATGAGACTGAGTGATTCACCTTAAAGTCTAATTTGTAACTAATTAGGTGCATTGATTTACAGGCACTCGATTCAGACCGTTGTCATTCGAAGTGCCCAAACCCTTGTTTCCAGTTGCTGGTGTCCCCATGCTTCAGCATCACATTGAAGCATGTGTAAAGGTAAGTGCTGTCCTCATCACTTACTTTTCCAAATAAATTTGTAGTACGATACCAAAGTAGGCCATCCAGAAAGCACAGCACACATCTTTCAATCCAGATGCCTCGTGTCACATAACTTAACAATCCAGATCTTCTCTAATATTTATTGGGTTACTTTTTTGATTGTCACTTTTCTTGTGAGGATTCACCTTGATAATTTTGCACTACTAAAGCAAACGGCATACTTTTTCAGACTAGATGATTTCTTTCTATAATGCTATGGAGCCCTTTAAATCACAGTAAAATACAAGTTGAACAGCTCAAAGGTTATACATTGTTTACATAAGGAATCCTCCTTTGTTTGCATATTGTTCTTGCCTGGGTTTTGTGTGACCATGAGTTAAATGAGTCAAAATGTTAGTGGTAAACAGCTTGTTGTGTCTGATGCAGTCAAGTTGGTGAGGATCAAAACTGTCTGCTCTTTACAGGTACCCAACTTGAAGGAGATTTTGCTCATCGGCTTTTATCAGCCAAATGAAGAACTGAACAGATTTTTGTTTAATGCACAGCAAGAGTTCAAAATCTCAATCAGGTAAAAAAAAAAAACACTGCTGTGGACCGTCTAAATAAATAAATAACTATTTATATATTTATTTCCCACTTAAACATATAGATCTTTATGAAAGTGAGACTACCGGTAATTCAAAAAAAAAAAAAGCTGCCATTTTTTTCTGTCAATGCAAGTACATTTTATCCAGTTATGCATCCAGATAACGTACTGACTGCAGGCATGTTTTTCTGTTTTGACTCTGCACTGCAGGTATTTACAAGAGTATGCAGCCCTGAGCACTGGAGGGGGCATCTATCACTTCAGAGATCAGATTGTCTCTGGGAGTCCTGAAGCATTCTTTGTAATAAATGCTGATGTTTGTTCGGTGTTTCCTCTCACAGAGATGCTCAGCTTTCAGAAAGAGCATGGAGAACCCAACAGCTTTGTCATCCTTGGGACAACGGTGAGATTTTAGAGCTGGCAGCTGCACTGAATAACCTTAAAAATGTAGGAAATAAAAAAAAAAAAAAAGTTTAAGACTCTTATTTGACCTGCTAACAGTAGTTAATGTGGCTATGCCTTTGATTTGAAAACATTACTGTGAAATTCTTCTTCTCCCAGGCAAACAGGAAGCAGTCCTTGAATTATGGCTGTATTGTGGAAAATGAGAACACAAATGAGGTACCCACATGTCTCACCAGATAGCTTCTTATTACTGTTGTAGCCTAAAATGATTAAAATAAATCCCCTTTTGGTGTGCAGGTCTTGCATTATGTGGAAAAGCCAAGCACGTTTGTGAGTGACATCATCAACTGCGGTATATACCTCTTTAACCCGGAGATCTTCCAGCACATCGGCGCCGTCTTTCAGAAGAACCAGCAGGACATGTTGCTGTAAGTTTAGCACTCTCTCATCGTTATCTGTAGCTAGGATTGCATGTGATCACCATTTTCTCATTTCTTTGGTTCTCTTCATTTGTTCCTTTTCTTTTCCATATTTTCTGTTTCCTCATTGAATCATCAGCTTTCCATATGATGGGTAAGTTTAGGCTGCTTGGTATGGCTACAGATAAGTTGATGATGTGAGCCTTAATGAAGGCATAATGACGCGGCTTTTTGTGGGAATGCTTCTGTCCTTTTGAGCTAATTTTCTCCAAATGCATGCTACTTTTGGGAATATTTAGCTTGTTTGCAGAGCTCTCATTCATTTGATAGAGAGGCTACAGCCATGAGTTGGATTGCTTTTCTTAGTTTAGCTTAAAGATGAGAAGAAAAACTAGCTTGACTTTGTCCTATGATGGAATGACATATAAGAACTGATGCACAAAAAATGTAAATTAGCTGCCTTTATGAAATTGGGGTAAAAGATAAAACCCCAAAGAAACTGTGTAGTGTTCAACCTGTTGCCATTTACCCCATATATATTGTGTAGTTTAAACAAGGGTGAAGTTCTATGCTAATTTGTGAATCAGGGAGGACTGTGTCACCTTTCTACCCAATGAAGCTAGACCTTGTTTCAGTAACCTGGTTAAAGCTAAGCTGCCAGTTGTCCATTTAGTTTACTGTCAAACTCTGCTCTAAAGCAATGCTCTTTTTTTTCAAAATGTAAAAAAACCATTTGATATACAGTATAAAATTCCCAAGGTCTGCATCTGGTTTAATCTTTATCCATAAAAAGTTTTGCAGGTTAGACACTAGTTAGAGCAACGTTTTGCTGTTTTGCTTGTTCGTTGTTTTGTGAGAGTTGTCTTGTGCATCACAAATGCTTGCTTTGCAATGTGCTAGATTTCAATGTTTTCACGTGAATTTAGCAAAATTATTCATGTTAACAGTCTGCCCGCAGCCTGTCACAAAAGCTAAATGCACCACACAAGAAATCAATGGCTGGATTTTTTTTTTTTTTGATGATATTTGTGTTCCAACGTTCTCTGTAGAGTCACTGCTCCAACAATTAGCACACCAAGGACACTTTAAGTACATTACAAAAAGATAAGCCATGGGCTGCATAATTCACCTGCTAACATCAATATCACTTAATTCAAGTTGGGTGCTGACTCAGCAGAACCGTGGAGCTATCGCTGCAGTCTCTCAGGGATTGCTCTGCCTCTTCTCACATCCACCCCTTTTTGGTAAAACTTTGATTTTGGGTGTAAAATATTCCTTTTCATCAATATTTAACGCGGTTTCATCTTCTTGAGGGTTTGTACAATACATTACCCCACGGACTCTGATTATTGTGGAGCTTGCAGACTCCTCTACTTTAAGTTTTAGATCACTGCAAAGTAATTAGGTTAGGTTTCAGACGAACACTGAAACTATGGAGGCAGGTATCGATGATGGCTTTAATTATTTTAAACTTGAGGCTATATCACAGGGCTTTAAAGTTCACATTTTGGGACTTGGGAGATAATTAGACCAATGGGTTCTTGTTTTGTACGCAAATGATTCTTTTTAAAAGGTGACTATGGTTGGGTAAAACTTTCAATTTTAAGTATTCTCTCATTTTAGGTGAAGGTACATTTTGAACACCAGTTGTTAACGAGGTAGTCAGAAAGGTGAATGTAGTATTTAAATGGTTAAATTATGGCAGCAGCTTCCAGAGGTGAATTCAACAAAGAAAGTTCAACGCAGCGGAGTTTTGTGAGAGCAGACTCGCTAAAATAGACAAACAAAAAAATCTGTCTTAAAACCTCATTTGACCCCCCCCCCCCCTCCCGAGTCACAGTAACGGTATAAAAAATAAACTATGTTCACACTCTATTTACTTAAAAATAACAGTATGAATGAAAATATGAAGATTAGAAAGTTTGAGCAATGTCTACCTACAGTTTACCAGCTGTGTCCCAGTCAGACAACTTTTATGAAATCCCACTGTACAATTTAAGTCTTCAGCTTTCAGTGTTGGCAACCTGTTGAGCTTTTTGATTTTTTTTATTTTAATGCAGAGAGGAGCCAAGCAACGGCTGGCACCGAGCAGAAGTCATCCGGCTGGAGCAGGACATTTTCACTGCCCTGGCAGGACAGGGCAAACTCTATGTGTACAAAACCCTCGGCTTCTGGAGCCAGATTAAATCTGCAGGGTGAGTGAAATGTCATTCCTTTCAAAATCATGGACAACCTCGTCCATCAAATGTCAGCGGGAGATGGGAGACTTTTTGGTATTTACATTGGCACCACATCTAATGACTAAAATCAGTTGCATCCAAAAATATTTTAAGATTCCCCTTTTATTTTTTTGTTGATTCTTTTATTGCACTTTTTTTTTTTTGTAGGTCTGCAATTTATGCCAGTCGATTGTACCTCAATCAGTACCACACAACTCATCCTGAACGTCTGGCCTATAATAAAGAGGGTGGACCCAAAATAAGAGGTATGGTTTCCCAACAGTGTGTAGCTGTGCTTCGTATTCCAGCTGACACAAACAAGTCTATTTATATTCATTTCCCTTTTGTTCAGGTAATGTCTATATTCACCCCACGGCCAATATTGACCCCACTGCTATGGTAAGAACTCCTCCATATTGAATGAACACTACAGATAAAAGCAGAGCAACACTAAATAATGTAATGCAAGCATAACCTGGAAGAAACAGAATAGAAATGTAGTTTTTCCACAGCTGTACTGGAGTCTTAAAGGTTGTCCTCTAACATGAACAGAGAGCTGAAGTCATTTTAGCGTGAGCACTTCATGCTATGCAGTTATTTCAAGTATCATCTTTTTTCTGCGCAGTTGGGCCCCAACGTCTCAATTGGAACAGGTGTGACAATTGGAGCTGGGGTCAGAGTTCGAGAATCAATCATTCTTCATGGTGCAAATCTACAAGTGAGCCACTCTGAATCTTACAATTAAGATAGACTATTGCAATGGTTTGAAGACTTTTTAAAGAAATATTTGGACACCCAGATAACAGTTAATCCAAAATGCTGCTGCCAGAGTCTTAACTGGAGTTATTGGTTGTCATTGCATGATGTCTGCAAAGACATTTTTTTTAGTGGAGGTATATTTCTAAAAAAACAAACAAACAAAAAACCTGTTTATTCCAGTGCATACTCAGCTGTAACTGTAAGCCAGGTTTCAGTCCACTCCCATTATTATTTTTTTGTTTATTACAAGAGTTAGTCATTTGTTGTCATATTCTCTTTTTAAGGATCATTGCTGTGTTTTGAACAGCATTGTGGGGTGGGAGAGCACCATTGGCAAATGGGCCAGAGTGGAAGGAACTCCTAGTGACCCCAATCCAAATGATCCCTTTGCAAAGATGGACAGCGAGACGCTTTTCAGAGATGGAAAACTTACACCTTCCATCACTATTCTCAGTAAGCTTCATTGAACATGTCTCTCTTTAACTTTATAGGCAGATTATTAAAACTGGGGTCATGATTTTGTAGGTGCAAAAAAATATTACATCATCGTAGCATGAAGTGGAGCTAGGAACTGACATTTCTGGCATAGAAATAAATAAAATTGCAATTTTACAATAAGCCATTTCTTTGTGAATCATGTTGGGTTTCTTGATCTAAGATTTTGCATTTTTTGTTTTAAAACAAAAAGCACAAGTTATTTGGTCTGAATCTATTAGAGCATTAGAAAATAAATACCTGCAGCATAGTTTTACTGTACGTTTTAATAAAAACAACGACATCACCCACAAATCACAAAGAAAGTCTGGCGGCAGCGTGTTTATTTATTTTTTGTTCTTTATTTTAAATGCATTGTTTCTCCAGTACTGAAATAATGAGTGATTCTAGTGGTTGAAAAAAAAAATATCCACCCTGGGTGACTGTTTATTGACATAATTTGTGTGCATGGGTGATAATTTTCATCCTGTAGGTGATGATGTAGCAGACTGATTAGTTTTCACAGGGAAGACACATTCCAGTAAATCATCGGTGAGGTCACTACTGGCTCTAAAGAGGGGTGCAAACTCTGTGTATTCTCTCGCTCGCGTTTGATTTGAATACATTATCACTCCTAGCAATAAGACTCATGTATGTTCTAATTTTACTTTCTTGGTTACAAACTGAAAAGTTAATACAAATGATTGCTACATTTTGTACCCCCCCCCCCGGCCTTATCTTTGAGTTGGTTCAGTCCAACTGAGTTCCACCACTAGCCTAAGACTAGCGAAGTATTTTTAAAGTGTTTTAAGTTTTAAGTTTAAAAAAACAATGCTGCGTCTTTTATTCTATGAATCTGACAGAAACGAGTCAAAAGTTTGATTGACATTGCACTTATGTCCACCCACAAGCAGATTGTGCTCTTTAGTTATATCATTAGTGCAAAATTTAAAAAGGGGAAAATTAAAAACTCACCAAAGAGTCTGTGTCTCATCCGACAACCCTTAAAGTCATCTGGGTCCTCGACAGAACAGCTGGAGGGTTTCAGGACTGGATGGATGCTGTTAAAAATAGCAGCTTCTTCAAGAAGCAAAGCTGTGCAGATTTATTAAAATGTTCTTAAAGAGAAAAAAACCACAAAACTGAAGAACATTTGAGAAATATACTCTTGTTTGCTCAGAAAAGTTTGTCTCCAGAGGAATGCTGGGCTCCATCTTCAGTTTGTTTCACTGTAGCATAATAAATTACCATCAGCTCCTCAGCCATCTGTCTCTCTTCAGTTGAACTGGGTTTACTGTGGCTATAATCCTGCAATGGTTGGCCATGTAAGCCAGTCTCCATTTCTTTATCTTTGTGTTACCATCCTTAATTTTTCTGTCATCGAAGGGAAAAACAACGACAAAGTAAGCAACCTACGCACATTTAAAATAGTATTACTGTGGCCATTGTCTATGCTTTCAATAAATGTATTGGAGAGAAAACTGGAAGGGAACAAAAACAAAAAACAACAGGTTTATTGTAGGGCTGGGCGATAGATATTTTAAAAATATCGATACGATTTCATGTGTGATATAAGATGAGACTATATCAATAAACGATATATACTTGAACATCCGCCTGCTGTCTTCTCTCCCTCAAAGCCCAGCCCCTCACCTGCTTCCTGCCTCTCCAGGTGGAGCGGCACCGCCAGCACGTAGCAGCCACAACATGGAGAGGGAGCAGAATATAGCAGAGCAGCTTGTGAGCAGGAAAAAAAAGATGGTTCAGATTTAATTTGTCAGATGTGCAGCAGAAAAATGTTTTCTGTAGACGATGCTAAAAACAAGTCCTGACGAAAGGTTCGAGCACAACAAACCTTTTTCCACCATTTAAAACTGCTCCATAAAGTGGAGTATGAAGAGTGTGTTAAACTTCATGCTGCAGCGCTGGCTGTGAAGCTTCCTTCCCTGACACAAACTACGGTACGGAACTCTTTGACCTGTGCCTTATGAGAGGTGACGTGAATAAAACAGCAGCTTGTCGTGTCACTAAAGACACGGCCCTAAATGTCTACAAAACAAACTTTAAAAAAAATTAACTATTTGCATATATTAGACATTTATTTTGTACAGTTACATCTGTTAATAAATGTGCCTGTGTGACAACTCGGACAAAGCTTTGACTCAAATATATGATTATTACTTTACGGAAATAACATTTTTTTATATCGATTTATCTTAAAAATATTGATATATTAATTTTGGTCCATATCGCCCAGCTCTAGTTTATTGTATAGATACCCTTAGAAAATATCTTCAAATGCAGACTTCTTGTGATGGGAGTTTTATTTTTTTTGTTTCACTCCACAAACACTTGGGATGTATATACACCAGTGTGTCCTGAGTGTAAAGGGAGAGTTGAACCATGAGCAGAATTACTGTATTTTGCTCTGTTGCCCACTGCACCAACCTAATGCCACTTGTTTTCTGTCTCTGCAGGTTGTAACGTGACCATTCCCTCCGAGGTGATCATACTGAACTCCATTGTGCTTCCACACAAAGACCTGAACCGCGGCTTCAAAAACCAGATTATTCTTTAGCTCATCTTCCTGTTACTTCACCCTCTTTGATGCCAACGAATGAAAGACGCTGCTGTCCAACCCAGGCTCTTTTTTGTTTTGTTTTTAGAGTTACTGTACATAAGATGTCCAAAATTGATATATACAGCTTTCATTAAATTGTTTTGAAAGATAAACTTTATACGTTTGTCCTCGAGCCTCAACGCAACACTGGGTTTGAACATTAGAGCGAGGCCGATCGTGCACGATGATTCACCTTGAGAAGCGCCGTCATGCCAGAGGTTTTTACTGGATTTTTCATCAGCTGAAGCCAACTGTAAAATTACTTCAGACACGTGTGTTTACAGACAGCCATGTTCTGTTTTTCAAGGTTACCTAAACATGAGAAGATTAGTTGTTAAAGAAAAAAAAAAAAAAACACGACTGCTGGTAATTTTCTGTCCTGATTATTTCTGCACAGCTTTGATTGAAAGCTTTTCAGCAGCTTCATTGTTAGTCTCATAAAATTGACTAACATTAAATAAATCAGCGGGATTGAGATTTACACTGCAATCAAGTAACGTTGCCTTTTTTTTTTTATGTGAACTTACTCAACCCCCCACCTTCAAGGACTTGCATACCTAAACTGTGTGTTGGCAATCACTGGATAAGCCGTTTCAATTTATTTATACAGCTTCCTAACATTTACTTATTAAGCCCTCGAGCACTCGTGATCACTTCAGTACTTTTGTTTAAATTAGTGCAACAAGAGCGTCTATTAAGGAGAGATGTTAATTGTAATACTGGAACAGCTGCGTGACATGTTTTATTCATGCTTCTCTGCATGTTAATGTACATTTTATAAGTTGTTTGAAATTTTTAAATGTAACTTTGAGGGTTCAGTGCCTGATCTCAGTTTGCACCCCTCATTTCAGCATTTCGTGGTAAATTTCCACTTAAGACTAAAACTTGAATGCCCTTACAATAAAAAGGCAATTGTAAGTGTAATTAGATGAAATAGGTTTTCCGCGTCTATAACAGCACCATTATGGTACAAGCAGGACAGCTTAAAGGGGGAATAGGAAAATTAATTTCAAAATTATTCACCCAGGATCTTACAACATGTTGCTGAAAGCTTGCAGAGATTTACCGTTTTGTTTTCTTGGGGAAACCCGAGACCTTGTGTACACTTCTGAACTTGAACTTAAGTTCAGACCTGTCATTGTGTCTACAAGAAAGATGGTGTTGAACCAAAAGATGAGGCAATGTCCGAAAATGTGTGAGAAATTGCCATTTAACTACTTTTTTTCCTCTTTAAATTCATTTTTATCCCAATTACAAGGCTTTAATATTAAAACTGCAAGTCAGAAATTTAAAATCTGTAAGGACTTCTCAGTCAGTGTTAGAATTTGTGCTATAATGGCATAAGTTGCTAAATACAGTGTAAAAAAAAAAAAAGTATTTAATGTTAAAGTGAGGAAAACCATTCAAAAAACTTGTCCTTCAGGTCAGGACAACACTTTTAACAGTAACATATAAAAAAAAGAAAAACCTGAACGTTAGCAATTTCTTGCTTCTTCCAAAACTAATCAACCTAAAATATGAGGCAACACTGTTGGAAAATCACAAGAGTCACATTTAATTTAGGTCCCAGCACCAAGTCTTTGTGTAAGTTGTTTATAAATCAAGCCAGTTTAACCATATTTTCAGCCTCTCCTTCCATATGTCAGTTTTTAGTCTCCTAACACCTGAAAGAAGAAGAAAAAAAACAAAAAACATTTGGATATCCTGATGCATGCTCAATAATCCAGTTTAGATTTGGAACGTTTGTTGGATTTTCTACCTTGATTATTGAGCATGAACTTTGACGTCAACATCCAAAGTTCAGTCAGGCCATCTGGACGGTTTCCTTCTTTTTTTGTTTTTCTTGAGACATTTTGTCCTTCATCCAAAGGACAACGTCAAAACCATCTTATCAGCAAACTGGTTGACCCACTATGTGAATGTGTTGCTTATGGGACTGAGTTTGTTGTGGCTCCTCGGACTGATGAAGTCCTTTGGATGAAGGATGAAACGTCTCAACATCAACAACAACAAAAAAAAGTTCAGATGACCTGACTGAGCTTTGGATGTTGAGTTTTGCTAATCTACCGTATACAAGTACTAACTGTACTTCTGCAAAATTTCACAACTGCTTATAACCCATAAAATAGGGCAACTTATCCTGATTGTTCAGTTTTTATATATAGATATCTGTCCAAAATGTACAGCCGTTTGTGCTTTTTGCTGCATATACATTTCGTCTTCAGAAAAGAATCCTCATCCAGAAAAGTAAAAAATAACCAATGATTGTATGTTTAGTGGATTACAAAAATTGCCGACGATACAAATTCAACCCAATGTGTTCATTTGTTCCCAGTCGCGCGCATGTTGAAGCTGCAGCAGTAAAGGTACGACTGACTTTTCTACTTGAGGTCTCTGAACGGATGATAACAATGACTAACAAAAGCCAAAAAATAAAAAGTGACAAATGAGCTGTCAGACGGAAGCTGGCATCTCCCACGGCTCAGAATCAGAAGGTACAGGGGGAGTTGCTGTCGTGCATCACCAGTAAAAGCTAAACTTTTGCTAAACTGCACTCAAACATCAAAACGTGCCGATTCGCCTCAGATGTTCAGAGCAGGTGTTTTTGATATCCAGATGTGTAGAAATGAGAATTTAAAGTTGCTATTCAACTCAAAACTGTAACAGAACTTTTAATAGCTGAGAGTAAATAGTTACAAACACATTGGTCTTGAACGTGGTGCAGGTTTTATTTTTACTTACTAAACTTCATGTAATGTACAGAAAATATCTGGTTATGCAGAGATCACAATAGTGGACCAAACAACCTTTAAGTAAAAATATACCTGCTTGATTTGATTAACTCTTCATTAAAAAAATGTAATTAATGTATAAATGAACGTTCCTCATTTGAATTCAGTAAGCCAACAAAATAAAATCTCTGCTGCAGGATTAAAAAAAAAAGTATATTTTTTACATGACATGTTTACTCGTTTAAACTTTGACCAGACAGTTCTTTCTAATAAGAGAAGATTTAGTTTCAGAAGGTAATGTTTGTTACAGAGTTTCTGACCGTTGGACAACTTTACAGTATTTTGGTGTGCTGAGTCATGCTGACACTCGTGGCCCTAATTAACTGCTTGAGACTTCTAAACTATAACTGGGAGATATAATTGGAGCAATAGCCCAGAAAGCAGACACAGCTGCTGGGAAACCAGCGGTGCTCCAGTGTCTGGGCCTGTCCTCGGGTTAACAACACTCAGATAGTCCACTTCAGTTTGTCGTCTACAGCTTTGACATCCAAAACATGAAACAAATGAAGAAAAAAAATCTTAATGTCACAGAAACCAGTAGATGATGGTTAACTTCTGGTCTTTTGTCACTGTAGCTGAACTGTCATGTTTCTTTGATTTTAATGGAGAAAATGTTCTGCTGCACTTATAAAATATATTTGTTACTGCCATTAATAAATTAGGATAGATGTGATGTCTTTGGTAGTGTGAGCAATATAACTATGATTTCAATTCAACTAGAAACCTTGAAGTAGAAATACATAATGCAGACTGGCCCATACTGGGTACTTAACAGTTACATACAGGGCATCTACTGGGACCAGGTTCTATTATGTATGACCTGTTCTTACTGGGTATCAGATACATACCAGGTAAGCACCAGGCATATTTTGGTATACACCAGGCACGGCAAGTACTGTATTTTCCAGCGTATAAGTTGCAGGGGTTTTTTTTTTGCATAGATTGTCCGTCCTGCGACTTATATACGTCCCCCCCCCAATATTTATAATGCAATTTTTGAGTGACGCTTTAAATTTCAAAGAACTGCAACAGCGAGTCCTCCCGTGTGCGTTCACTTCACTCAGCTGGTGCAGGAACGTTTGAGAGCTAGCAGCTCCAGACACAATGGATGGATGGATGGATGGATGGCGCCGCACCGCCCAGGTGAAATTAAGCCGTTTTGACCATTAAAGTGCATTTATTCAAGAAAAGTTAAACTGAGACACACCTTTGCTATAATGTCGAGCAAACAATTGTTTTTAAGTGTAAATCTTGTTAAACTTGTAAGAACTGCAACAGCGAGTCCTCCTGGGCACGCTTGCTTAACTTAGCTGGTGCAGGTGGAGGAACGCTAGAAAGCTAGCGGCTCCAGCCACGGTGGATGGATGGATGGATGGATGGATGGAGCTGTGCCGCCCAGGTGAAATGAAGCAGTTTTTACCATTAAATAAACGCATAATAAACAACAGGTCAGCAGTGATGCATAATAAATGCGATTTATATGCCAAAGCAACTTCGATATGTTTTTTTTTCCTCTTCATGATACTTTTTTTTTTGGCTGATGCGACTTATACTCCAGAGCAACTTATGATGAAAAATAAGGTACCAGATACTTACCCTGTAAGTACAGGAGGACCACGTCACTTGGTAAAACTGCCCCATCTTTATTGGTACCAGGTACATACTTGGTATATCAGGCTGTATTATGCATCACTACCATCTTTGCCTTTTGGAAGTCACACGAGCCACTCTGACAAAACGTTGGACTGTATGTATTTTTGTGGTAAAACTTTATATAAAAACAAGTGTATACGTAGATTTCTAGGTGCCCACTATGACTTTTTTTGGAGTGAAGGGCAAAGCTGCCAAGCGAAGCCTCACTTTAACAGGGCTGGAAAGCTCCTTGATTTATGCAGTTAGGTAGATGGACCAAATGTATCCTCGTGCAATATTTATTAGACATGCAGACCATCACTCTACTTTCTGAATGCAAAAGTGGAGGGTGGACCGAATGCTTCGCATAACATTGCATAATTCAAGGCTGTGACATACTAATGGAGGATGGCAGAGTGATTATTTGCATCATTTCCATAAGATCATAATGTTGCACATTCTCTGCATCTAAGATTAAAGCAGCGGAGCAACGCCCTGTCCTGCGGGCGCTTTGGGGTGTTTGCCTCTGCTGTGCTGGCAGCAGCTGTCAGAC